CCCCAAAACCCCAAAACCCCAAAACCCCAAAACCCCAAAACCCCAAAACCCCATATATCTCTCATATGCTTGAAATGGACCAGCCTGGATAAAACCTACTAAGGTATTTCAACTTGAAAATAAGTTATTAAGATAAAAGCTTACTGCTGATTAGCCATGACAAGTCTTAATGTAGAAGAAGGAAGGATTCTCTTGGACTCCATTCTAATAGTTTTCGAAGGTTTCAAAGACTTTATCTTCGGATAAACCCGAGCGTCGCTAGATGTAGGGATGGCCTTACTAGCTCTAGGTTGGATATTCACTTTAAACCCTTCAATTTCACCTTCGATTCGGTTTACCTTTGAAGGTCCAGATGTATTCATGCCATATAAAGCTAAGAGTTCTAGAACGTCTGTAGAAGCCTCAGGACCGGTTTCTTTGTGGGGTGATTTAGTCTCTTCCTGAGAAGAGAATTTTGAAGGGCTCTGCATCTCTTGGTATCGCTTAGTGGCCTCTTGTGAAGTCACAGGGTTGCTTCGATCGTAGTCTGTGAGGAATCTAAAGTTAGTGTAAGGCTTACTTTAATTTGTTCTTAAGATAAGTCTCGTTGTCATCCCTGCTAATATCATTCTCTCATTTACTTAAAAGAAGGTCTACAGGTAACAAATAATACATCATTGCCAGCACAACAATAGGCATTACAAATTTATTTTCTCCTTCTGCGAGTTCTTGAACAAAGTAATATTGCCCTGTTGCATACAGAATAGGAATGAAAGGGAGCACAACATTTAAGCCAATAGCTAGATCCTCTCCCATTGATTTGGGTATCTTGTTGATTCTGATCAGCATGTACTTTTTGACCCAATAGTGAAAGATAATTCCTGCGCATGAGATCAGAGCAAAGGCAGGTACAAGCGAGAGATAAAACACAGTTATTGCAATTATTAACAGCATCTCAGAATATCCCTTAGCTACATCCAAAGCAGGCCCTTCATAGAGTTGATTTAGGTCACGCTGATTTAACTTGGAAGATTTACCTTGGCGCTTAGCTAAGAAAATTTTCACTTTCTTAACAAGAATTGCAGGATTTAGGATGTAGAATAGTGGTGTAACAAAACATAGGAGGACCAAATTGAAGAAAATTTCTACTACTAATCCACCTGCCAAGAACCAAGTTTCCTTGTCCAGATTAGTTGCGACTGGGATTATTACCGTATTTATGGCCGTTACAACAAAATATTTCAAAGTGATTGAGAGATTATATTTGGTGAAAGTATTGTCTCGTTCTAAATGGGTCAGCTTCAGCATGATCTGCTTGAGTACTACATTCATAATTGACACCACAATTGACCTCAGTAAAGCAATAAATCTATTAACATTTCTGATAAACTCTTCATCTGACTTCTCAGCTGTCTCTTCTACAGACTTTGATAACATCGTGAGGGAGAAATTAATTCCAAAGGCAATGCCGAGCAGGACAATGGTGATTGCATAAGAAAGAATCCTGTACTTGAACCTCGTCCAAAAAGTAACAGACATGTTTTGCCAGAAGACGTCAGTAGGTTCTGCTGCTCTCTCGATGTTGATTCTTCTCCCGTCCCACCACATCTTATCTACGTACTTATTTCAACGGAAAATTTTGATGAAGATGAAGACGATGATTTTGACCAAGAAATATCTTCGAAATAAGGAAACTAGCTTCTCAGCTTGGCTTTGTTTATTCAGAATCACAAAGACATTTCCAGTGGATCTATAGGTACTTATGAGCTTTTTCATATCTGCTTTGGTTTGGCTGATGTCCCTCTCTAGCACTCCAATATCCTCTCTGAGCTTTTCAAGATCATAACGACCGGGTTTTTTAGGATTATGCAAGGCTTTCTTCAATTTTTCGCACTGTTTAATTTTTGAAACGAGTTGCTTAATGTCATAAGCAATGCTGATATTTTCAATCTCAACTTCCTTTAGCAAGGACTTTATCCATATCTTTATTTCAACTTCAGTCTTGTCCTTAGGGACATTGCTAAGCATTATGGCAAAGTCCCCTGGAGTGATATTGTTCTCATCAATCTTCTTAATCACTCTTGATTGATGGTTATTTTAACAAAACAGCACTGATGTAGATGAGAATAATTGTGGCAAGGCCAAATCCGATAAGAAGATCTATCTCATAATCTGAGTAGTTTTCTGGAGATTCCCCGAGACTTCCAATTGAGAAGAGTGAGAGAAACGAGATTTCTTCCCCATCAAGCCATTCGTTTTGGCGATTTGCTTTAGCAAAAATTATGGTCATTGGGATTCCAACTAGAAGAGACATTATGAAGCACAATATTCCCAGATACACATTGAAATAGAAGTATAGAGGGATCCCTGAACCAAGATCATTCAAATCGATGATGTTACAAGTCAGGTCGTATTGAGGGACAGACTCAAGAGTTGGAAGCTGACAGCAAGGACAATAATACATCGGATTACCTTTTGAATTTTCTACATACTTTGAAATAATTTGATCAAGATCCTTTACTTTTCAAGCACTTCCATGTATTTTTGCAAGATAGAAATTTGGAGGACTCTGATTCAAAAAATTATAATCATCCTTCTTTGAGACCTTCTCTTCCTCAGAAGAACTACTACTACTGCTAAAATGATGAAGAGGAGCTCATATAACTTTCACTTTGGGAGAGTGATTCTTTATCGCCTGCTTTACTGTCTTCACTGTTCTTTATCTGTAAAGAACTTAATGAACTTTCTTTCCCCTTTATCAACGCTAAAGAGCCCATCGAGCTCTTACTAATACCGTTTTCCTTCTCTTCACTAATATTGCCAAATCCTAGGTCTTCGATAAGCTCTTCTTCAGTCACGAAATCCAGCTTATTTTGAGCATGCTCCATTTTCAATAAGTTTTATAACCTTAGGGGTTTTGGGGTTTTGGGGTTTTGGGG